CCCTAAGGCACACAGACACATTTAGATGGAAACACAAAGTTCAGTCCTTCCACCCTGGTTCACCAGGCCTGGCCCACCCAGGCCTGGCCCCATTCTTGCATAGTCTCCTGATCACCTCCCCCACCCCCCAGCTGGTTCTCTACCTCTCTCTAGGTGTCCTCCCCTAACCCACGTCTGGAGGCCTCACAGAACACAGGCACCTGGGCCTTTAGGCGGCCAGTTTTTGAAGCTTTGTGCCCCCCAGAAAAGCTCCAAAAGTGCCCAGCAAGGCTCCATTCAGGATCCCATGACCTAGGAGGATTAAACAGAGCTGGCTGAACAAGCAGAAAGGGCCACCAGAGTGAGACCAGAGGGACCAGGATACAGAATTGACAAAGGAATGGAAAGAGTACAGAGGGGAGACAGAACAAATGGACTAACCACAGGTAAATAAACAGAGCTATCAAAGGTCAGAAAAGGAAAGTGAATCTAAGATGAATAGGAATGACTCCAGGGGGAGGGATCTTAGAGACAGGCTGTCCAAACACTTGCAGCCACGGAGCTTCTGAGGGAAGGGCAACTGTTTAGAAAGAAGGGCCTTGGTGAAGGGGCCAGTGGAGAGACTGGGCAGGAGGAAGCTGACTAGGAGAAATTAGAGGGAGCTAAACTGCCTTTATTGCAGGCAGTTTGACAGGACACCAGAAAAGCAGATAGGGACTGGAGGACAAGCAGCTGGAGGTCCCAAAGTGGAGTAGGACACGTGCTGAAAGGCCAGAGCCTCTTGAACCCCCTGAGCTATTTCCAGGTATACCCACCATCCACCCCATCTGGGTAAAACTGGTCACTGAGGGTCATTCCCTGCAGCTCCTGCTAAATTCTACACCCAGATTTTGAAGGGTGGAAGACCCAGAGGTAGGGAACTTACCAAAAGGAGAGCCCCATCCTTGCAAAATTCACATTCTGAAAGAGACAGAGGACCACCAACGCCCCCACCCCTGATCCTTGAGGGAGCCTCTGATCTAAGGAATCCACTACAAAGAGGAATGAATGCCAACTGGTGCAAATTAATAGTCTTTGGTTTGAAGGGACAGAGGAGGGATGAGGTGAGGTGACTCAGAGAAAAGGGAAGATTCTGGGCCGGCCTGGTGGCGCACTGCTACAGTGCGCCACTTGGGAGCGTGGCGGCGCTCCTGCCGAGGGTTCGGATCCCACATACAGACCGGCCGCTCACTGGCTGAGCGAGGTGTGGGCGCAACACCGAGGGTTGCAATCCCATTGCCGGTCCCGGTCCGGTACGGGTGCGACACTGAGGGTTGCGATCCATTGCCGGTCACGAAAAAAGACAAAAAGGAAAAAAAAAAAAAAAAAAAGAAAAGGGAAGACCCAAGTTGGGATTCTCCACATCTTCAGACTCAACCTATTAGGTGACCTCATCACTGGCTCACACATCTGGACCAGGGGGCCTCAGTGCCCTCCACATGGCCACAGCTGCACTGATGTGGGGGGAAATCAATATCGCTGGGAGGCCCAGAGTGATGAGTCCCTCCCTGAGGAGCCTAGAGTCTTGGAGGAGCCTAGAGGTAAAGCTTTGCTCTCTTCCTCCTCTCTCAACAGTCCCTAATCTCGTACACACAGGGTACACAACATACATGGATGGCTTCGTAACCTCTCAGTGTTTCATGTGGCTTCCTCTCCAACTAAGTAGAAGAGCCTGGGTTTGATAAAGAACAGGTTTTCTTCATACCCTGCAGTGTTGGAATGTTAACAAATACTTGTCACAGGTGGGGTATGGGGAGCTATTACAAAAAGATTTTCCACAAACAGCAAACACATGTCAAAAATATTCCACTCCATTGTTATTCTTTGCCCTACAGATTGTATTTGATGGCCATCCATCTCTATCTTTGTTGGCTCATGCCCAAAGATGTCTGTTCCTCCATCTCAGGCTGGGGATTGGGCGCCTAGTCTTTGTTAAGAAATACAAGCTCCACCCACTTGTGAGAATACTGAAAAAGTATGGGGGGACAGAGGGAGAGTGTCTCCCCACACTGGGTTGGCCCACTGATAAGGATCCTTCCCTTCTCTGTCTCCTAACAGATTCAGATTAATGATCACTCATTCCTAATTGTCAAATTTCTTTTCCTTCATCCTGTGTCTAATCACCAGTGACAGAAACCATTACGCAAATGAGAGCAGACGACTTCCCCCAACTGTTCGCGTTGGTAAAAACCTTGTAATTTAGAGCTCTGATTTGTAGGGGAAGCTGGTCTCCCCCAGGCATCCTGGGCATCTGCTCAACTGATGCCCAGAACAGCCCCTCCTCCATCCCAGAAATCCAACCCCCCAACAAATATTTGACTTCACAAGACAGTAATTTTCTTTGTACCTGCTGGTGTAAAAACAGGAGCTGGCAATGTGGCTGACCTGATCTGCTATCTTTCTCAGTGTGATCTGACAGGCCCAAATCCCCACCTTCCCTTGATGTGTCTGCCTCCCATGCTGCTGGCTAGGATGGGGTAAGCAAATATAGCAGAAACATGTCCTCTGTTGCAAGCAGAATTTGAGCCTAAACAGCACTAACCTAGGTAAGTGAAGGGAAGACCTTCTATCTCTTCCCTGGGGGAAGAAGCAGCAGCAGAACATGAATCAAGACTCTTAGTAATCACCTAGAACTGGCGCTTCAATTCTACAGATGTATAAGCATGCTGAGTAGAGTTATGCGACTTATTCAAGAACACACAAGTAACGCAATTAGATCTAGAAGTCAGTTCCCCCATATCTTCTTCCCAGCACTCTTAACTCATAATCTGGTTTACAGGAAGATTTCCCAAGGTGTGTTTAGCTGGAGCCTGGAAGAGCTTTCACCTTGAACTGCATCTTCTGCACCATCTTGGGCTGAGCCTGCCTACAGACATTGCCCAGGGGGATGGAATGTGAGGAGAGGGCCTGTGATACAAGAAAGGGAGTTAAGGTAGGAGAATCAACAGTCTGGTAGGCAGGAAGGAGCAGGGAGTTTGCAGCCAAACAGCACTAGGTTAGAATTCTGACTGCCACTAATCACTTTAATCTCTGTGAGCCCATTTCTTCATCTGTAAAGTGAGAATACCTACCTTGCAGGATAGCGAGGAACAAAGATAAAAGCACTAGGCACATATGAGGTGTCTAGAAATCAGGGGTCACTACTATATTGCCTAAGGATCAGGACCATTCCTATGAAGGTTCCAAAGTTAGCTTTCTCCCTCCCCACCTTGGCCACCTTAGGTCAGACCTGTGTTGGCACAGTACCCAGTGAGGACCAGTTGAATGGCACACACCTCCCTGCTCACATCACCCACATCTTTAAGGGCTGAGCCAGGAAGGCAGCAGACCTACTAAGGAGAATGGAAATAATGTGCTATTTTTCCAAGTGTGACTGTGGCCAAGTTTATCTTCCATCTGCCTTGTTTTCTTTGTTGTGCTCCTCTTTCCCGAAAGAGTTGGAGGGATGGAGATCACTGCAACCACATTTCCCAGCATTGACTATATTTGAAAGAGCTACACTTGAAAGGGTACCTTGTCGTCACACCCACAATGCATCAGAGAACCCCAGAATGAGGTACTAAAAATAAACACCCCTCCCCAAAATATACACACAGATGTGCACACACATACACACACATCCTCTCAGTCTATCAGTGCACTGTAAACTGAGCTTACGGGGTGAGAGCCACAGCTCAGACACTGGAAGTAAACCTTTGGGAAAAAGGAAAAACATGACAAAACCAGACACTTCCCAACTCCTCTTTCCTTCCAGAGAGAAGGGGATAGAGTTGGGAGTGGAGGTGAGTAGACACACGGCCACCACACTGCCCAGCTCCAGGGGCCCCACTCTGACTGGATGTGAATGATGGCCCTTGGAGCTGCGCGATGTACAGCTGCCCAGCTGTAAATTGCAGCCCTGAGAGGGTTCCATTGAGTAACAACTAACAGAAAAGGAAATCCTACTTCCATGTTCTACCAGTTGCCCTGACTACTGAGGATGTTGTGGAACATTACAGTGGGATCTGGCAGAGGCGCTGGCTTTAAGAGGCAAGGCTACATTTTTGCCCTTGCCCTGAGGTGGATGACAGGTAGCGAAGTTAGCTGCCTAAGCTTGACCCCATTTCATCTACTCAGCCAGGAAGCTCAGCAGGAGTAGAGGATGTAGCCTGGGCAGAGAGGGTCATAGGACCTGGAGGCTCTAGCCAGTCAGCCACAGGCAGGCTGCAGTGAGACCTGACCAATATATGATGGCTAAAATCCAAGTTCAAAAGCTTTAGGCTAGGTCAGGTAGCACTTTCTGGGGGCTTGCACTGTACTGTCCCACTGGACAAGGTAAGCAGTGGAGAACCTCTGTAAGCAGGGAGGCTGGCTAGTGTGAACACACACACACACACACACACACAGGCTTGCACCCCTAGAACCTACAGAACTGACAGCTAGGAGAACTCCCTTCGTATCCAGTACAGGGGCAAGAGCTGGTGCTGAAAGAGAGAAGCTGTGTGTGTCTCCAGTTTGGGATTTATGTACAATCCTTGGTTCTTATGTCCCAAAGTCCTTTCTATGTATGGCTTGAGCTTGTAGGTCCCAGCTGAAACCCTATTTAATCCTCTCTCACAGGAAGGCTATCTAGGCTCTCAAAGGCAAGGCTCCCTCTCATTCTCCCCATTGGAGTCCCAGTAGCCACTGCCACCCAGCCAAGAGCTTGACTATGCAAAAACTAGGAGACAGACAGACCTAATGGTCAGATTAGCTTTGGCCCTGCAGCCCAGATGCAGTGGGAGGTCCAAGAGCATCTCCTCTCTCTCAGGCTGAGGCACTGAGGTTGTAGGAGATAGGGCTGAGAGCCAGAAGTGACATCCGAACCCAGAAGGAGGGAACGAGAAACATACATACATGTGTGTGCAGGCACACGCGCGCGCACACACACACACACACACACACACGCACATCCTGAGGTTGACAGACTAACACACACAGACATGACAACCAGAAGCTGGGACTCCACACACTGAATGCAGGACCTTAGAGGGGCAGAGAGGGAAGGTGCTGGGGCACAAGAGGCAAGGGTAAGAAGTCCCTCCAAATGGGAGTGGAGTGCCAACTGCCCTGCCTCGCCCCAAACACCTGCCTCCAGGGCCATGGCAAGAGTCCAGTCCATTAAGTGCAGCGTGCAATACTAGCGCTTGGAGTCTCCTGTCCTCATCAATGAAGCGGTGTGGACGGGATAGCAGTCACCTGGCAGTAGGCCTTGACCCCTGGCAGGCTAGTTGTATCGGCCCTTGATCATTGTGTTCAACAAGGGCCCCACCTGTAAAGAGACATGAGGAGCCAATCAGAACTGCCTGTCCCCTAGCCTTGGAGTTGGATGGGATGTATCTGGAGACAATTCAATGTCCAGCCAAGGACAGGGACAAAGCTTTCATTCAATCTTGTGAAGCCTCTAATCAGCTCTCTCCCTGAAGATCAGTCCAGTATTCTGGGGCATGGCCCTCTCCTCAGGGTCCTTCTTCTATTACCTTTCCTAACACAATACCCTGTTATTTTACTGGAAGTAGCACCAAACTGTTAATCCCCAAACACCCCAGAATGTTTCTGCATGTTTCTCCAATGTGCCTTAATAATGTTAATTGCCTCTATATCCTCAACAAATGGTCACCTGCCAATTGAGACTGGTGCCATCCCCCCACCCCACAGGTATCTGTGGATGCTGAGGCTACCCACAGAAAGGAGACAAGAGCATTACAAATACAAACCTTCCCTGTTTCCCCATGGGCCACTGGCACACCTGCATGGGAAGCAAGTCTCAACACTACCTAGAGCAGCCATGGCACAGCTGGGAGAGTGCAAGGAGATGCTTTACTGCTTGCTACCCATTCCAGGAGAATCCCCTCAGGGGTCCCCAGCTGGCACACAAGCCCTGTGGGGAACATTACTACTAGCATGGAACAGATTATAATTGATCCTCCAGTCAAGCCCAGCTCTCACCAGAAAACAAGAATTTTCTAAACATACCCATAACCTCTACGGAGAGGACACCAGATACCGAGACAGAGGAGCTACAGAGAATGTCACACCAATCCTGACTTTCCCTGGTCAACCCACCCAACTGAGCCACAGAAGCGCCACCTTGGGGCAGTCACATACCTCTTGTGGATTCCCCAAGGCCTCTCCAAGCATCTTCTCAATGTTTCTCATTATGGCCACTTTCTGGTGAGCTTTGAGAGGATATTCAATTCTCTTAGGGGTGGGAGCCCCCTACAAAGGAAGCAGCAGCTCAGGAAATGCCTTTCACAGCAGGCTTCAATGTTATCCCATTACTCCTAGTAGCATCCTCCCTTCTAAGAAACCCGATTTAATCCTATCCCTCTTCGTTTCCCCAATGACCTGGGAGTCACTTCCTCCCCACTCCTGTCCAAAACCATATATTACACCTACCTCACGCCAGCCCCAGTTCCATCTGAGGAAAAAAACGTATATCAACCATATTCACCTTATACCAGAAGTTCACAGTGATGGTAATCCCCCCATTTAGTAATGACTCTATGTGATGCCACCTGCAAGAAAACAAACAGGCTCCAGTTTACCACTGATACTTTTGAGAGGAAGAAATGGAAAACCTGGTAGAAACCAGTTAAAGGAAATAATGAAGACAATATCTTCATACTCATCTATAAAACACACACTGGGGCTAGAGGCAGTGGTGTTGAGTCTCTAAATACTAAAGAGCTAAGAACAGTTTCTTTAGCCACAAGCTGCTCAGATCTGTTTGGACTCGGGGAACTGTCATCCTGTCCTAGAGATAGGGTCATCGTTTCCCCATGTTCAGTAGGCTCACATCTGGATATGCCAACATTGTAGACCAAAAAGGAACAATTCTGCCCCAACTCACAAGGGACACAATAAGGCTTTCCAGAGAATGGGAAAGAAAACTCCCAAGAAGCCTCCAGCCCTAGCCACCTCCTCACCAGTACATTGGGATATAAAGGACATCACCAGGGCCAACCACCGTTTCGTAACCAACCACGTTTTGGAAATTGGGGAACCTCTCGTAGTCAGGATTGTCAAAGTCCACCTAAGAGGTACAAGAGAAAGAAAAAAAAAAAATCAGTCAATCACCAAATCTTTACCAGTAACTACCACATGCCAGTTTGGTTCTTAAAAATAAAGACATGCCTTCAGGAAAAAAAAGAAAAAGAAGTCTTTAGAATTTATATCCAGCAGAAGATAAAATGCACATGAAATTGTCTCTCTCAGAGAATGATGTAAGAAAGTCCCTGCTTAAATGTTAAGTGATAAAGAATCCTTGGCTTCAGTGCTCCTGAGGTCAGAAGATCTACTCCACGGCCTAAGGATATAAGAAATTAGGACTTATCCTTCAACCAAACTTTCAGAAACTTTCTCCCCAAAACTTATTCTAACCAGCAAACTAGCTACATGAAGTAGCTAGACAGCTTTCTCAAGAAAGGAGAGAATGTCTCTGCCTGGCCACAAAGTCAAACATATACCTCACTTAGATCCAGGAAATCCATTAAGTGATATATCTCAATTTTATTCACCCTTCTTCATATCAAAAAGAAACAGCATCCACAACAAAAGAAAACAATAATTAAATCCACTGGAAACATACACATTTTGTTCCATAAACTTGTGGGCCAATGAAAGAGTAATCATAGTCCACCAGCAAAATGATGGAGTCTCCTCCCCAGAATTAGCTCTACAGGGCTGTTTATATTTACAAACATCTGGGGACCACCACAGGAGCCTGAGATATGTGAGCTACACTGTGAAATTATCCTCTGGTTTTGTCTGTAAAGCAAGACCAGCCTGTAATCCAAACATAGCATACCACCAAAGGGAAGCAGAAAGACTTTCCAGCCTTTGATCCTAAAGGCATTCCCAGAATGTAGATTTCTACACCCTACTCAGAACACACAAGCTCACCTGGCTCTGTCTGTCACATGGGTGATGGACAGGGTATGGGTAGAGGCACTCAAATTGATCCGGAGGGAACAAGATGCATCGTTTGTAGCCTTTTATCTGAGCAAAGAAGTTCTGCTGCTCATCATAGTGAGCAGGTGTCACATTTCCTGAAGGAAGACAGACATTTTTTTTTAAGCAGAGTAGTGGCTCTTTGCACAGGCTGGAACAGGGCCCAGTGCTGGAGAGAAACTTGACTGCCCTCTCAGCTAAGGGTTCCAAATCAAAATTTCAGACAGAATCAGGAAAACTGCAACTACAATTCTCAGCAAATTAGGTGTTACACTTTCATTGATAATAAGTCTAGCAAACATCACTGGTTAAGGGTCCATCTTCAGCTAGCAAAGAAGACTTTCCTAAATGATGGCTGCTGCCCTTATTAGAAGTAAGAGCACATCAAATACTCACAAGTCTAGCAGAGTAATATACTGTGTATACTTGTACTCTTCTTAACTATGGCAGGAATTCAAGGGAAGCAGAACAGTTAGAAATGATGGAAATGACTGGAATCAACATGCATACATAATCCACTTTGAGAAGTGAACCCAGTCATTTTAAGTTGTATGAACATGTACTGCTTTGGGTAGCTCTTTTGGAGCTCAAAAATTCTCAACCTTTGCTCCCACTTCAACACACCTGTGGATGCAACACTTCTTAGAGCGACACTGGAGCATGCTGGTGATTTTCATCAGAGGAAAGCATATCACATTACCTAAAAGAGTGCTGTATAATTCAAATAAGGCACGTTACTTAAAACACCACCTTGAATTAGTGCATATATATGCCCTAGAGTATATATGTTCCATCTACTCCTTTATAACCGGGGCCACATCTGTTGTTTGTCTTTTGTACAATCTTTGAGTTGAACACACAACTCTTCAGGGCCTGGAGTTTAGAAAACATTCCCCCGTTCTGCCTGTGTATGCTAAGACAACTGCCTTCTTAAGTGCTGAGAGTCCATGCGTATCCTCAAAGGAGAGGTGCTCTCTTATCTCTACCTGAGGGATTCACTTCCCTGCATCCTACCACAGGAAAGGAAGACTACAGAAAAAGTCAGAGTCAAGTAAACCAGAACTGACCCCTTCCTGGCAGATCAACCAAGAGTTAGTTTCAAAAGGGCAGGTAAGTGTCAATTCATAAGATGCACTGCTGGAAACCTTTATTTAATACTGGCAGAAAAGGATCGAAATCTGAAGAAAGAGATCTGAAAGGAAAGAAATCTGAAAGGAGATGAGACCTAAGAGCCTAGTGGTGAATAACAACGAACAGTTACTCTGCTTCCTTGTTCAACCCAGTTTATTCACCTCCTACTAAGTATCTACTATGGGCCTGGCACTGAGCTAGTACAGGAAATAAAAATAAGAATGAGACAATGACTCTGCCCCATAAGTAGATCTCCTTCTCTTGATTGGAGTTTAAAGTCTTCTTTTATTCAAAAGAAGAAAACACAAAAGAACACATTCACATATTTGTTTGCATATAAAATTCTCTAGCAGGGAACACAAGCAACTAATAACGTAGTATTCTCCAAGGAGGAAACTGGGATGGGGTAGAAGAGAGATTTATCACTACATGCCTACTCAGACCTTTAGAATTTGAGTCCCATGAATGTATTATCTATTTAAAAGATAACGTTGAATTTACATTGGAAAAATAAGTTTCCCCTTTTATTTGGCTAAAAATCTTCTGAATGTGGACAGATCCCATACAGCACCAGTATTTCAGAGAAGTCCCTAATATCTCAGTATATGCACTTACACAGCATCTGAAGGGAAAAGGGAACTTTCTTTTTAGAGTGCATAAAACTAGCTTAAAGACTTAATATACATTATCTCATTTACTCTTCATAGCTATTTTACATGTCATTATTATGTTCCTTTTTATTATGTTCCTTTTACAGATGAGGACGCTGAGGCTTAAGAAAGTTAAATGACTTAGTCATGGAGCTAGTAAGTGGTGGAGACAGGATTAGAAAGGTTTATATGACTCCAAGCCATGCTGCTTTCTGAAAGATTTCTTACCTTCCATGCCGATGAGCAGGAGGTTAGAAGTCAGCTGCCCCCAGCCACGCTTTCCCTGCTGCTTATTAATCCAGTTCCAGTTAAAACCCAAGAAGTCCATGACGATCTTTCTGCCCACGGTGTCGTTGAGTGTTTGCTGCAGATACAACCTATGTTCCCCAAGAAGAAAATCCCCTTAGTGCATCCACACACAGTCCCTGGCATAGCCTCCCACACCTGGAAATATAAACCCAAATCCATACCAGCATCTCCCACAGAGAACAGCTGTAGTCATGCAAATGTTAACCAACATGAATTTTCACAAAACTGAATTCTTACCTATCTTTCTTTGAGCTCTGTTCAACACCAAACGTTTTACTTTAAAGAAGTGATTCTTGGGCCGGCCCGGTGGCGCACTAGATAGTGCGCCGCTTGGGAAGCGCGGCGGCGCTCCCATCCGAGGGTTCGGATCCCATATACAGAAGTGATTCTTAACCTTTTCTGGGTCACAGAATACATCGTTTAAGAATCCAAAGAAGGTTCCCCATAAAAATGCACAAACACATAGAACTTTCTTACAGTTTCATAGATTCCTGGAAGCCTATCGATGGATCTTAGAATGATGAATCAGCCTTGCTCCAGAGATTCTCAGGGCCTAAGATTCCTCTTTTGGCCCTTGACAACCACTGTGGCAGGTCATATTACTGTTCACAAGTTGGTTCCCTCCCAGTGGGAGTGTTATTTTCCATTCCCCCTGGAAGCCAGGCTTGCTTATTTAACTTGCTTTGGCTAATAAAATGTCCATAGACGTGAACTGTGTTACCTCCAAGTGTAATTTTAAGAACCAGTCCATACTATCACACCTCATTTCCTCTGCTACAGCAACTGCAAAGTTCCAGATAGTAGCTGCTGGGGCAACCTGAGTCCCAATGTGAACAAGATAATATGACCTGTGATGGACATGTAGTATGTGTGAGAAATAAACTTTTGTTGTTTCAGGCCACTGAGCTCTGGCTTGAAGACTAGCTTACCTTAACTGATCCAGCCACCTTTCTGCTGCAGCCTTCTATAGATGAAGAAGGCATCTCAAGTACAGACCTCAGGATCCTAACATATCTGAGGAATGTCAGAAGTTACTTAAAGGAGGACTGGCTCGTGGCTCACTTAGGAGAGTACGGTGCTGATAATACCAAGGTCACGGGTTCGGATCCTATATAGGGATGGCCGGTTAGCTCACTGGGTGAGCGTGGTGCTGACAATACCAAGTCAAGGGTTAAGATCCCCTTAGGTCATCTTTTTAAAAAAAAAAAAAAGAAGTTACTTAAAGGATATGAAAACCCAGACACACTTGATCAAGCCTAACAAGAGACACTAATAAGGGGCCAAACCTGAAGAAAAAAGACAGAAGCAGCTCTTGCCCTGGTCCTGAGAAAGTTACTTCAAAAGGTTCAAAGGCATCTTTCTGCCTAGAATCATATTCGGTAAGGCAACATTAACCAAAAATCTTGATAAGTTGAAAACACTGCCTACCTTTTTGGGGACATGGAACCCTCAAGACTCTAACGCAACCACTGGACTCTCCCAAGAGATTATAATATACATATTCACACAAAAATTTTGCAAGCATCTTTGAAAGACTCAGCAATACTCCCCAAACATGAATCTAAACAATATTCCTATTACACCTGAACAGTAAATGCTCAAAATAGCTCAAAGAAGATCCTAATACCTTTCACCCCATAATGGCAACAACCTGAACAACTGTACAGTGGACTTGGATGGTGCTAAAGTCAGCTGATAGGGCAAAACTTATACATAGTAAAAAAATTTCCTTGAAAACCCTTTAATCACCCATAAAGTACAGATTACACTCATAGCTCATACTTAGTGAGGCAAAATGCTCTCACTACAGGAAGCAAGAAACTTTGAGTGACTAAGGAAACAGAAGATTCGCACATCTTATCTTAAGCTCATTCTGGGATATATGTTCATTTGGTGAAATTTCCCATTCCACCAGCACCATTCAAAAGAATCTCTCTCTCACCACTGGGGGGCGGGGGGGGGGTGCGAATGTGTACGTGCAAGCTATGCTGAATTTGAGGAAGTTAACACATGAGATGACTCAACTGAACCAGCCTTTGTAAGACATAAAGGACGGATCAATCACAGTTCATATCTTAGAAACCCTTTTGGTCAAAGTCCCATCATTATGACAATTGTTAAGTGTCAAGAAGAAAAAAAGATAGTGCATATCTATTCACTTAGTCACATACTGCTGACAGGAAGTCAGGAAGAGAACTGAAGCAGGAGACTAGAGAGAAGCCCAGGACTGGGCACCAAATGTGAGATGGTCATTCACCATGAAGTACTCAGTGAAAGCAACTTTTTAAAAGAGTCAGCACCACTCCCCAAACATGAATCTAAACAATATACTTATTACACCTGAACAGTAAATGCTCAAAATAGGTATAGTGTAGGACCTACATAAAAGGCTGCCCTCATAATTAGGGATAAAGCAAAGAGGAAGAATCACTCTCCCATGTGTATTTCTTGTGTGTGCTATTACTGGCATAACATGGAATATCAACACCCCCTCCACCTCCCCACCTAACCTGGTCTTCCTTAGAGGCTCGTGATATCCTTTACCCCCAAATCACAACAAACTATACAACTTTTCATCTTGAACTGTCCCCACCCAGCATAATAATTTAGGACAAAGGCTACAAACTGGCAATTTCAGGGCTAAATCCATTTGTTTGGCCTCCCGCAGCTTTTTAAAAAATCTGAATTAGCTGCCCACATTTGAAAGCCAAAAGGTTTTAAATTTAAATCCTGATTTCACGCTTCTCTTGAAAAATCAAAATATCTGACAACCCTGGACCACTCCCAGATGGAAACAAGCAGAGTCAAGTAATGACTTCTCACTCTGAACAGGGCATTTGTGCTCGGCTTCATCATAGCTTTCACCTAGACAGTTTCACTCGTTTCATTCACCTGTCTGACCCTTCTAGCGAACCGAGACTCTCACTTTATGAAGAAGATGAGAAACTAGAGTTCACAGTCCAAGCGTAATCCTTCCCTCATCCCTCAAGCTACAGAACTAGCTGTCTGCAGCCCTAAGAACCACTAAGACTAACTCAAACCCCATACAGGCTGGAAGAACAGACTACTAATTCAGCAGAAATCCAGAGATGGAAAATACCAACCTCTACTCATCCAACTCCCCTACACCTTCAAACAAGTACAGGAAAGGAAGACGGATGCCATAAAATCAAGATCTCAAAACTTACCTTTCTTCCCCTCCTCGCTGCTGTATATCCTGCAGTTTCTCAACAAACTCATGAAATTTCATTTCCTCCCTGTTGGATCTCGGCTTAAAGTTCTGGAAATTAGCCATCTTCTTCTCATCATAGTACAAGAACTTGTGGGTGCTAGCACTGTATACAGAGAAGTCTCCGTTGCCAATATTCTCTTGCAGGTATTCAAGGTCCCACTTCAGGGCAGGATATACAAGATTTGTGTCGGTCAGCACCACAGGTTCCTAAGCGAAAACACCAGGTGCAAAAAACACAAAATAATCCCAGGGAGCTGGTGGGTTCTCCTCCCATGATTCCAACTACTTCCCAACTTCAGAATAATTTCTCCGTTAACCGGCACGAACCCCTCAAACCCCATTTCTCCTCGCCACCCTCTCCATTTCCCCTTCGGCTCTTGTCCACAGCCCAGCCAGTCCCCCACCTCTTTCACCATTCGCCTCTGACCTCTCCTCCCACTTTGGCGCGGCCCCGCCCCCACCTCATTCTCGATGAGCTCCTCCGCCCGGGGGTCGCTCTGACTCAGACGCGGGATAGGCCGGGTCGGGAAGCTATAACTGCGCAGTTGGGATTCATCCCAGGCGGGGCCGGGGGCTTCAGCCTCTCCCTGGGGCTCTTCTGAGCCCGAGGCCGCAGCCTCCGCCACTGCCGCCGCCATCTCCGCCGCTAGGGACGGCCCCACCGGAACCGGAAACTCCTCCTATTCCGGACAAAAACCACCCCGGGAAGCATAGAGATGAGCTGCGAGAGAGAGTGATCCAGAGACATCAAGAACGCGGAAGCGAGGCCTGGGGTCTCCTCCTAGTGGTGACCTACAGCTCTACAGCCTAGGCTCCACTCCTGAAGAACTGGGGCTAGACCCTAGTGCCACTGAATAGGATGATCACCTGGTAAATCAATCCACAAAATATTGCTGCCTCAGTGTGCCCAGGTCTGCACAAGAGGCAAACAGGTTTAGTCAGGCGTTAAACTTTACACTCATGGCTTGGGAGACAATCAAATTCTTGACTCGCTAAGGAAATCAGAAGTAAAAGCAATTATCACATTGATAGATGTTGAGCAAAGACTGCTCTGAAGGCATAGGCAAAGATATATGGCAAGTTGAACTCTTAAAATCAAGAGTGGTTTTTGTTTGTTTAGCATCATTTGATTTTTCTGCCTGTATCATCTCTCCTATTGAATATATTTTTGCCATGAGACTACTGTGGCCAACCGTGAACATCCCACATTTTCCAACAATACATATTGGTTATAAAAAGCCATATCAATTACCTCTATTACTTACTTAGTTCTTATGGCTGGCTGTGGGAGGCTGAATTCTAAGATGGATCCTAAGATTTGCATCTCGTGGTGTACACACCCTGTGTAACTCTTTCCCCTTAAATGAAAGCAAGATTTGGGAATACAACAGGGTATCACTCCAGTAATTAGGTTACATTATATGGCAAAGATGTATGTTTTCTTTTGGCAGCTGGCCAGTACAGGGATCCAAACCCTTGACCTAATTAGGGTCTTAACTGATTAGGGTTTCTAATCAGTTAATTTTGAGTTAACCAAAAGGGAGCTTTATCCTGGGTGGGCCTAACTTTATCACTCTAGCCTTTTAAATCTGAGTCTAGAGGTCAGAGACAGAGGCCTGAGATTTTGAAGCCACAGCACATGCTGTTCTATTTGCCTTGATGGAGGAAACTGCCATGTGGCAGGGAGTGGCAGTTGGGGTCTAGGACCTAAGAAAGGCTCCTGGTTGACAGCCAGCAAGTAAGGGGGGACCTTAATCCTGCCAGTGCAAGTAACTGAATTCTTCCAACAACGACTGAGCTTCAAAAAGGACACAGAGCCTCAAATGAAATAGTGTACCTAGCCAACAACTTGATTCCAGCCTGGTGAGACCCTGAGGACTCAGCTAACTGGTACCTGTACTCATGCAAAATGTGAGATAATAAATTGGTGGTGTTTTGTTAAATTTATGGTAATTTGGTATGCAGCAATAGGAACTAATATGCTGGTTTAACTCTGTAAGTATGTTATATGGTAACTGTGCTACATCAAACTAATAACAGGGTTACCTGTATGGAAGGGTTTGGGGCCGGAGGTGGCAATTGAGGCTTTAGTTTTAGCTGCAATGTTTGAATTTTTACAAAAATATTTTAATTTATAACACTGGGAATTAAAAATAAATTAGACCAAGAAGATTCAAAAATCAGGAATGAAAGAAGGGACATTACCACTGACTTTACAAAATAAAGAGGCATATAAGGTGTAGTAGATTGAATTATGTCCCACCAAAACTCACTGAAGCTTGAATTGTCTTCCAAGTGTTATGTACTAGAAACTTAGTCCCCACTGTGACTGTTAAGAGGATGGGAAATCCTATTTTGGTAAATGAAAGATGGAGCCTTAAAGAGGTGATTGGATTGTAGGACCGTGAAGTAGTGGATGGATTAAAAATGGTGGTCAGGGGTGTGGTTCTGAGGGCTTTAAAAGAAGAGGAGAGTCTGTCTTTCTCTCTCTCCCTGTTCTCTCCACTTCCACCATTTTGCAATGTGAGACCCCTGGGTCGCTGTTACCACCACCAGATGGACTTTGGACTTCCAAGCCTCAAAAACTGTAAGCAATAAATGTAGTTTTTCTTTATAAATCAACCAGTTTCAGGTACTTTGTTATAAGCAATGGAAACAGACTAATACATAAGGGAATACTGTGAAGAATTATATGCCAAAAAATTAGAGAACTTAGATGAAAGAGAAATTCCTTGAAAGGCACAAACTATTATAAATGATTCTTTTCTATAATAAAAGAAATAGAAAATGTGAATAGACCTATAACAAGAGATTGAGGGCCGGCCGGGTGGCGCACTCAGTAGAGTGCGGTGCTTGGGAGTGCGGCGGCGCTCCCGCCGAGGGTTCGGATCCCATATAAAGACCGGTCCGCTCACTGGTTGAGCGCGGTGTGGGCGTGACACCGAGGGTTGCGATCCCATTACCAGTCACGAAAAAAGACAATAAGGAAAAAAAACCAAAAAAAAAAAAAAAAAAACCAAGAGATTGAATTAGAAATCAAAACACTCTACAAAGAAAAGCCCAGGACCAGATGGATTCACTGATGAATCCTACCAAATATTTAAAAAAGAATTAACACCAATCCTTCATTAAACTCTTCCAAATAAAAATAAGAAGAGGAGGGAACACTTCCCAACTCATTCTATGAAGCCAGCATTTCCCTGATATCAAAATGAGAAAAAGACATCACAGGAAAATAAAACTATACATCAATATCCATTATAACTATAGATGCAAAAATCCTCAATGAAATACTAGCAAACCAAATTCAGCACCATATAAAATTATTACATACCATGACCAAGTGAGATTTATCCCAGGAATGCAATGTTAATTCACTATCTGAAAATCGATCAATGTAATACACCATATTAATAGAAGAAAAAATTACGTGACAATCTCAATAGACACAAAAAACTTTTGACAAACTCCAAAATCCTTTCATAATAAAAATAGGGCCCCAAAGGACATCATTAAGAAAATGAAAAGACAATCCACAGAATGGGAAAAAATATTTATGAATAATGTATCTAAGGAAACTATCTAGAATATATAAAAAACTCTCACACGCAACAATAAAAGACAACTCAATTAAAAAATGGACAAAAAACTTGAATAGACATTTCTCCAAAGAAGGTATACCATGGTCAATAATAAAAAGATGCTCAACATCAATTCGTCATCAGGATAATGCAAATGAAAGCCATGATGAGATACCATTCACACCCACTGGAATGGCTATAATAAAAAGACAGACGATAACTAGTGTTGGCAAGGATGTGGAGAAACTGGAACCCTCATACACTGCTGGTGAGAATGTAAAAGCGTGCAGCTGCATTGAAAACAGTTTGGCAGTTCTTCAGAAAGTTAAACACAGAATTATCCTATGACCCAGCAATTCTACTCATAGCTATATACCCAAGAGAATTGAAAACACACATCCACACAAAAACTTGTAAAGAAGGTTCATCGCAGCATTATTCATAATAGCCAAAAAGTGGTAACAACCTATGTCCATTAACTGATAAATGTATAAATAAAATGTTGTGTATCCATATAATGAATATTATTCAGCCATAAAAAGGAATAAAGTACTGATACATGGTACAACACAGACAAATCTTGAAAACATTATGCTAAGTGAAAGAAGATGGACACAAAAGACCACATATTGTATGATTCCATTTATATAACATACCCCGAATAGGGAAATCCATAGTAACAGAAAGTAGATTAGTGCTTACCAGAGGGTGGGAGTAGGGGGAATGTTCTAATGGGTATGGGGTTTCTTTTGGGAATGATGAAAATGTTTTAGAATTAGATAGTGGTGTCTTAGTCAGTTTTGTGTTGCTATTAGGGAATGCTACAGACTGGATAATTTATAAAGAAAAGAAATTTATTTCTTATACTTCTGGAGACTGAGAAGTCCAAGGTCGAGGAGCCTGCATTTGGCAAGGGCCTTCTTGCTGTGTCATCCCATGGCAGAAGGGGGAAGGACAAAAGAGGGCATGGAAGAGTAAGAAAGACATGAAACCGAACTCATAACAAACCCACTCTCGAGATGACTAACCCACTCCCTTGATAATGACATTAATCCACCTTGTATTAGGCCCCACCTCCCAAATCTGTTGCATTGGGGATTAAGTTTCTGACATATAAACTTTGGGTGACACATTCAAATCATAGCAAGTGGTGATGGTTGCACAGCTTTGTAAATATACGAAAAACCACTTTATTGTACACTTGAAAAGGGTGAATTTTACGCTATAAGAATGAACTCTTAATTAAAATCAGTGAGTAAATTAGACCAACTCTGTTTTTTGACCCAAATTAGATCAGGGCCTGCTATTGGTTGAATGCAGATGTTGTCCAATTATTCTGAAAACCAACTAGTGGTGCTCACAAAAGGTCAAGTTGCTGTGAAGCAGTCCTTCCCCAAATTTTACCGTACAGTATTTATCTGTTTTTATTGCTCTGATATGTACAAAGGTACTTTTTTTTTTTTTTAATTTTTTTTTTCCTTTTTTCGTGTCCGGCAACGGATCGCAACCCTCGGTGCTGCGCCCGCACCTCGCTCAGCCAGTGAGCAGGAACCGGTCTGTATGTGGATCCGAACCCTTGCCGGGAGCGCCGCCGCGCTCCCAAGTGGCGCACTGTAGCAGTGCGTCACCCGGCCGGCCTACAAAGGTACTTTAAAAAGTTCATGGAAAGAGTTGTATTATCTTTCAGTTCTGTTTTTCAACTAACTTTTTGAAGTACCCTCATATATATATATATATATATATATATATATATATATATATATATATATATATATATATATATATATATATATATATATATATATATATATATATATATATATATATATATATATATATATATATATTTTTTTTTTTTTTTTTTTTTTTTCCTAAAAAATGTCCGGTAAGGGGATCTTAACCCTTGACTTGGTGTTGTCAGCACCACGCTCAGCCAGTGAGCAAACCGGCCATCCCTATATGGGATCCAAATCCGGGGCCTCGGTGTTATCAGCACCACACTCTCCCGAGTGAGCCACAGACCAGCCCTGAAGTACCCTCATATTTGAGAATGTCTATAATAGAGGATTCTGCTCCAAAACAGTGAGCACCCTCAAAGTCACTG